CTCCTGAATAGGCCGGCTCCAATGAATCCAACGGACATCAAAGCAGCACACACAGATTTTCCCATAGACGTCAACCCACCAACGAAGGAAGAAATCAGAATGGCCGTCAGACAAATCAAGAACGGGAAAGCAGCGGGACCCGATAACATACCAGCTGAAGCACTGAAATCAGACATCGAAGCAACCACAAGCATGCTTTATCTTCTATTCAAAAAGATTTGGGAGGAGGAACAAGTGCCTATGGACTGGAAAGAAGGACACCTCACCAAGATTCCAAAGAAAGGAGATCTGAACAAATGTGAAAACTACAGAGGCATTACATTACTGTAAATACCAGGGAAGGTCTTTAACAGAGTGTTGCTGAACCGGATAAAAGACGCAGTTGACGCCCAACTTCGAGATCAACAGGATGGATTCCGTAAGGACCAGTTGTGCATGGACCAAATTGCAACACTACGGATCATCGTCGAACAATCAGTTGAGTGGAACTCATCACTATACATCAACTTCATTGACTATGAAAAGGCATTCGACACTACGGAGTTCCTGAGAAGATTGTCAATATTATCCGGAACCCATACGACGGACTACAGTGCAAAGTAGTGCATGGAGGACAACTGACAGATGCACTCCAAGTAAGGACCGGAGTCAGACAAGGCTGTTTACTCTCTCCCTTCCTCTTTCTTCTGGTGGTCGACTGGATTATGAAGACCTCAACATCTGAAGGAAAACACGGAATACAATGGACAGCTCAGAACCAATTAGACGATTTGGACTTCGCAGATGACCTAGCCCTCCTATCACGTACACACGAACAGATGCAGATGAAGACAGCCAGTGTAGCAGCAGTCTCTGCATCAGTAGGCCTCAGCATACACAAAGGGAAAACTAAGGTCCTCAAATTCAAAGCGGAGAACAGCAATCCAATCACACTTGATGGCGAAACTCTGGAAGATGTAGAGTCCTTCACATACCTAGGAAGCATCATCGATGAACAAGGAGGTTCAGATGCAGACGTAAAGGCGAGGATCGGCAAAGCAAGGGTCGCATTCCTACAATTGAAGAACATATGGAACTCAAAACAACTTTCAACCAATATCAAAGTGAGAATCTTCAACACCAACGTCAAGGCAGTTCTACTGTATGGAGCTGAAACTTGGAGAACTGCAACAACCACAATCAAGAAAGTACAAGTATTTATAAATAACTGTCTACGCAAGATACTCAACATCCATTGGCCGGATACCATCAGCAACAGCCTTCTGTGGGAGAGAACAAACCAACTTCCAGCTGAAGAAATTAGGAAAAGACGATGGAAATGGATAGGACATACATTACGCAAATCGTCAAACTACATCACGAGGCAAGCCTTAACTTGGAATCCTGAAGGGAAGCAAAAAAGAGGAAGGCCAAAGAAGAGATTGCGTCGGGTAATAGAAGCAGATATGAAAGCGATGAATTACAACTGGACGGAGCTATAAAGGATTGCCCAGGACAGGGTTGGATGGAGAATGCTGGTGAGCGGCCTATGCTCCTTCACGAGGAGTAACAGGTGTAAGTAAGTAAGTAAGTAAGTAAGTAAGTAAGTAAGTAAGTAAGTAAGTAAGTAAGTAAGTAAGTAAGTAAGTAAGTAAGTAAGTAAGTAAGTAAGTAAGTAAGTAAGTAAGCAAGTAAGTAAGTAAATAAAACCACATCACATCTCTAAATTTGATACGAACTCCTTCAGTAACACTGGCAAAATTCCAGGATATTTATATATATAAACCTAACCCACGGCCTTCCGAGAGCAAACTAAAAGTATGTCATACGATCAAAACCGAAAGTGCACCTGTATTTACTCAACTCAAAAGACTAGCACCAGATAAGCTTCATACCTCTGGAGCTGAATTCGAATACATGCTACAACTGGGTATTATCCGTCCTTCTGATAGTCGATGAGCATCCCCTTTGTATATGGTCCCAAAAAGAAATGAAAGCGATTAGCCACTGTGAAGGGATTACAGATCCCTCAACCGTCAAACCGTACCAGATAGGTACCCGATACTGCATATCCAAGATTTCACAAACGGTTTACAGGGTATGAACATATTTACTAAAATTGACTTGGTCATGGCATATCATAATATTCCAGTAGCTGAGGAGGATATCCCTAAGACAGCTGTTACTGCACGTTTTGGAATGTTCGAGTTTGTACACATGCCATTTGGCCTGACGAATGCGGCACAAATATTTCAAAGATCCATGGGTGACCTACTTCAGGATACGTCATTCGCATAGGGGTATATGGGCTATTTGTTAATTGCCAGTCCCGATTTACAATCACACGAACAGCATGTGAGAGCAGTGTTAAAACGGCTGGATGAAAATGGAATGAACATAGATCAAAGTGTGTTTTTGGTGTTCGAACTCTAGAATTTCTCGGGTACACAATAAGCCAGAGCGAATTACGCCTATTAAAGAAGATGTGGACACCATCAAACAATACCCCATACCTAGTTCTCTAACACAACTTAGAATTTATCTAGGTCTATGTAACTTTTATCGCAGATTCATACCCGGTCGTGCACAATTAATGCAACTTTTGACAGATTTACTTAAAGGAAAACCAAAAGAATTGAAACTGTCTTCTGACGCCGTTGAAGCTATTAAACAGCTAAAAGATAAACTGACTCAAGCGTCTACGTTGATGTATAGGAATTCCCTTTCTTTACTTGCTTTGATGGCAGATACTTCGAACAAAGCAGCAGACGGCACCCTTAATCAACTGATTTAAAACCAATTGATTTCTTCTCAAAAAGACTCTAGTCAGCAGAAACAAGGTATTTTACTTTCGAGCGAGGAAGTCTTGCAATCTACCTAAACATTAAGCATTTCCGACACATGTTGGAAGGCAGGTAATTCATAGTTTTTACAGATCATAGACCACTGACCAATTCACTAAAAACGATAGCTGATAAATGTGTAGAATTATGGTCTACTATGATATAACTAATACTCCAATCATAGACTTAATCCCAAATACATACTATAAACCCAAACAATAAACCTTCGCAATTACAACGAATTCCAAAAATAATCCAGATGTCTACTCCGTATCTATTTCCTTTCAGATAATCAATCCATTCTGGAAGCCAAACATTTACGTGGAACCAAGAAATTATCAATTATATTTCGTTTTAGTTCCTTATTATTTTACACAGGCAGAAGAGCAGCTCTTCAGATTTGACTGGTTTGCATCATTGCTTCTGAAGCAGGTTCCTCTTTATTATTTTACTTGTGGGCGACATAAGAGGCAGGTGAGTAAACACTAGATAGCCGAACAGAGCATGGAAAAGCCGTACCTCACCAACGTGGTGTTGGGTAGCTCGTTCGCGGTACTTCCCCAGAGTTTTTTGTTTCATTTTCATTATGATGTTGTTCCACGTTTATACCAATGGTCGGGATAGAAACGTCTGCGACAGCGAAGATTCAGTAGATGGGTTTGTGTAAACCCACGTTAAGTTGCACATATCTCTCACCATATGTGGCGATCGGTTTCCTATTTATAATAATCGGTCGTTGGAATTCGCAGGAAGAACGCCAACGTCTGTGCAAATATCGACAAGGTAGCCAACTTTCGCTATCATATCAGTGATGTATAACATACGGCTATGTTCTCCAGTAACGGTTGCCGTTAATGCATGGCAGTTGAGAAGTTTCCCAAAATGTTTTTTCGTGTTGGTTGGTCTGAGGCTCGGAAAATTGCAGGCTTTTCTGAGATTTCGAGATTTTCCGCACTGGTTTTGATACCAGCACTGATCAGGGTTATCTGTCACTCTGAGTTTAGAGACAAATTGTTTTCATGAAGTACTCCTTCGAGACGTTTAGAAGCGTCTACGGACATGACGAATACCAAGGTAACATGTTAGTGTATGACAGAGTTCTTTAACGTCATTTCGTGTCATGTGAATTTTTTCCTTGGCTTAAAAAACCTGGGTGTTTGATTTTCTGGTAATCTCCAGAATTCGGTCGGCGGATGCAGCCAGTTTTGTTTTGAAATGAGACAAGCACTACCCGAACCTTTTAAGGAAGCTTAGACAAGAAGAGTTGTCTAAACAGGTCATCATCGAAGGTCCGTTGACCAATGACCGCGCTCATTAGTAACAACATGTTTGTTGCTGAGTCATGTTGTGGATCGATGTTAATGAAGAGTTTATCTAACATTTGTCTATCGGTTAGATCTCCACACTTAAGAATAGCATTTTAAGAGTTTCATAAGGTTCCAAGACATCAATAGTAAACATGCCCAGTGTGATGTACCTGTTGAAACCGCGCAGTAGTGCACATATATGTGTTACGCCGTGCTCGTGGAGGTCAGCTTCTGCGTAGCAGAACCAGACTTCAATGTTCTCGAGCCAAAATGTCGTAAAAGTCTTCATCTTAAATAATTTAGGAGTCTGCTTGGTCACAATAATTATAATGTATAGCAATGGACGAGGAAAAAAGTCCACAAATACGAAAAAATATCACAATATATTAAAATTAAAGTAAAAACTGATATAAAGCCATAAAGAGGAACAGACTCGCAGTTTACAACTTGGTGTACTAGATCACGCCATACACACCACTTGAGATGCAACAAGTATTCGGAATTTGACAATGGCTTAACCAGTAACACTTCATAAGTCGGACAGAGTTCTTTTAAATGTTGCAGATTATCCTTTGTGACGAGAACCGCCTAGAAAAAACGTAGGTCCAGGATTTCAAACTGATTGCTTCCAACCACTCTTAATCACTCTCTTGTTCATTTGTACTGGACACTTAAGAGATATTTTATCTAAGGTATCCCCAATACAATATCTACAACATATAATATGGAAAGAGGATGCTCGACTGCTCCCCGTTCGTCTGCTTTGTTGGTCAGCCTTTTAATTTTTTAAAGCTACTCTTTGATTAAGATAAATATATAAGGTGATCTGATTCACTGTTTTCATATTGGGTCCAGATACGATAAAGTTTCAATTACCCGCGATTGAGGATTGAAGTTTGAGTTTTATTTGTTTAAGTTCTTAGCACAACCACAGAGGGCACATTGTACGGAGGCATGGTAAGTGGATGATGCATCAAGTTCAAGTTAATGTTGTTATTAGACTCGTAAACGAAGGAATCATGGTAGGTCGAAGAAAGGCCGAGGTCATGTTGGCTTCATACGTTGTACAAATTGTGGTCGAGCATGTCCTAAAGATAAATCTGTATGGAAACTAGTGACACGAAGTATGGTAGAAGCCGCCGCCGTTAAAGATTTGGAAGACGCGTCGGTGTATGGCAGTAAGTCTCATTTTAATTGAGTTGTTGGACATGGATACGTTCCGGGTCATGAGCAGTCCGGAACCACTCATTGTCCTAGAGTAAAATCAGCTTTAGCAGAGTCAGTTATTACAGTACCAACTGACACAGATACGGGCTGTACACTTTTTAAAATAATAGATTTACATTTTAAACTAGTGTTCACTACCAAATTAATGTTTTTAATGCTTTATTCCAGAAAACTACGCCGTCCCCAAATTGTACGTCAAACTTCAATACTGTATCAGTTGTGCCATCCACAGTAAAGTTCTTCGAAATCGTAGTCGGGAATCAAGGCGTCTCAGAAGGATTATAGTTAAACCTCGGGTTAAGTTCACACGCCCTATTGCTCCAAGGGCATGATTGCATGAATAAATTTTTATTCATTGGACTTTGCCTTTTGATTTTTGTCAGAAAGTTGTGTTTGTTGGTCAAAATCCGTCACTCCTATTATTCCTGACATGAATGCGTATGGTTTATTTGGTCTCAGAATTCCTATCTGTTGTTTAGAGTAAACATTTTTTACTAGGCAGTTGTCATTCATTCGATTGTATTCGTTGTTTCGTAAATACATTGTTCTTTAAGATGTTGACATATAATTCACGCCTGCTTTCTAAGAACGGACCTATTCACTAGGCTGGTATGTTTACAACAGAACAAACAGTGCGGCTGCAAAACGAGGTGTCAGATTTGCGACAGTTTCGCTGATAAGTCAAGGTTTGAATAGGTAAAGCTGTACGTGGTCTTACGTTTATGATGACTGTCTAACCGATGCGGTGGTACCTAAGTATTGTTTTGGTGGGTTTATCATCACTAGCTTAAGTTTACGTCTAGGAAGTAACGGTTCGGATATCCTGAAAGTAATTAGCCGCAAACATAAAATGCCTTTAGGATACTATTCTGTTTGGATATGGATGGTTAAGTAAAACTGCGTTTGTACTTGAATATTGCCGAGCAACTTGAAAGCAAAAAATTATGTACAAAGGATGTTTTATCATAAGGTTGTATTTATATAATGAAACACTGCGTTGAGCCGAATGGATTTCGTATTCGTGGATACCTTTCACAATGGTGACAAGTACACTGAATCAGTCATTAAAACTCGGACAGACTGTATGGGATTATTTCATGTTTATTATTTGACTGACGTTCCGTAGTCGCAAAATAATCTGCCGGCAGGTTTCTATATTCACCTTGATATTGTAAATCATCATCCTCAATACTCGGGGTGTTCTGCTGCCACTAAATCCGATAAAATACAGAGCAAAAGTTTTTCGGGAACTTTGATTTGATGGACTACAAATGTTCAGGATGTCATCAGGCAAACCATTATGATTGTTTATAGGGATGTCCATTCATGAGATTGTCTGCAGTTAGATTCTGCTAACCTAAGTAAACTGCAGTCCTGGTGGACATTGTTATCCATTTGGGTAAAAGATTTGATACGCGGGTGTTTAGTCTTAGAAGCAGTCATAGAAAATCAGATTATTAACATGATAGTGCACTTCTTAGATTAGTCTTATACTATCTCACTACATAGGGTAGGAACGTAGATCACCCTAACTAGCTTCTGAAACCTTAGCTTTGACCAGGAATTTGTGAAACATTCTTAGTCAAGCGTTTTTGCGAACGCGTTTTTGGTCGTAACCACAGAAAGTAGTAGTGATATATTCTGGGAAGTGTCTGTCAGTTGCAACAGTGGACAATTTTGTGAGTGGGTGTTCCCCGTTTCAGTCCAATTTATCTGTTGTGGGTCGCTACTGCATTCATAGATCCAAAACATATACCGTTTAAAGGCTCACTAGTGATAATACTATCACTGTATCCTATCAATTTTGGTTAATGAGCATAATCCTCCTGTCGCATGTGTTACTTCACACTCTTGAACTAAGTGATGATAAGCACTGGGATGATGGTTCTGAGTAACTCAGACACTTAAGTTAATTATTCCGCAACTAAATAAGTTATAAGTACGATTGTACAGCTTAATTGAAGTTGGGAAAGGAGTTTTCTCTGCCAGACATATCTACCCTTCCTCAAAAACATGATAGATCTATTTCGTTACCATTGTATTCATTTTGGATTTCTACTGTTTGTGTATGATCCGTGATAATTGTTATAGCATAAATATGGCTGTGGTCAAGTTGATTCGGTTACGATTCTCACTTAAGTATGTGGCGTCGTAGAGAACTTATTAAGCAACAACATAGAGGGTGATTTCAACTAAGAGTGCAGTGAAGAGTTACAAAAAAGGAAACGTGATTTCATAAAGACAAATGCATCAAGAATACCATTAGCATCATTGTTATAAATGTATGGAAATGAAATGAAGGTACAGTACGTAGCTACTGTCCCCAAATGCCCTGGTTCGGCCGAGAGTGGGGAGGGTTCGCTCACCCTCTCGAAATGCTCTCACATGGACACGCGTATATAGCCTCTGCCAGGGAAGTCCTACTCACTGCCTTCTCGTGGCAGTACTGTTGTTTACGAAATTGAGAGGACGAAAACGAATGTCCGGCTCTTTAACCGGGCTGGTGGATACGCAGAGTCCACCTATGGGAGTTGGAAAATTCTGATTACAGAACAAGTGGTGTACATGGGCTCCAGTATCCTGAGGGAACGAATGGCGTATGAACCAATCGTTGGTCACCGGCTACCATGGGACTGCATCTCCCAACGTTGCTCCACTGCCTTGTGGATTAGGCCTTTAGGTTGAAGGCTCCGGGTGTGGTTCCCTAGGAAGACCACCTACTTCGATTTGGGCTCCCGGGCAGTATCACAACCCTCACACAAATCTAGTGAGATGAAAATTACTTCACGAAATACTATACGCGCTCCAATTAGAATTCAAACATTTTACATGCACTTGATAGCCCTCATTTTTATTATAATCACTATTTTTTATATACTACGTCACTTATTTACCTCTATTATCCATATTTTTCAACTTATACAGCAGCTCACCTATGGTGGAAATTCTGTTCTATCTAAACGATCTCGAGTCACTGCCTGGTCGAAAGTTGAATGCTCCCACCGAATACGAATACTGAAACGGTCTTTCTGAAACCACGTGCACCATTCAAACTGGCTGCGTTCAACGTTCGCACACTTATGCAGATCGAACAACAGATAAGGCTGGCTATGTCTTTAGAAAGACTTGATATCGACGTCTTTTGTCTATCTGAAACCCGTATTCAGGACTCTAGTGAAGTACTACAAATTTGCTCTCCATCTGTCGCTTCAAAAAACTTGTTTTACGTGCGTTTATCCGGGGACCCTGTGGCATCTTCGTCTGATCTTGCTGGCGTTGGTGTCGCACTAAGCGCTAGAGCTGAGGCAGCACTAATCGATTGGGTCCTCAATAACAGTCGGTTTTGTGCTGTTAGACTAGAAGGTTCCATCAAAGTGAGAAGAAATCGGCGTGAGAAACGATGTCTTTTCGTCATCTCCGCCTATGCTCCGACAGTTTGCAGCCCGGATGCAATCAAGGATGAGTTTTACCACCAGTTGTCTGTTCTTCTTCAGAAAGTGCATTCGACAGACATTGTGTCAGTAGTCGGAGATTTGAATGCCCAAATCGGGAGTCTAAACACAAGAGGATCGTTTAGATGGCCGATGGGGACTTGTTAGTCGCAGGACAGATAACGGGGACTGTCTACTGCAACTGTGTGCAGACCACAACCTGTTTCTGGCTAGCACTAACTTCCGGTACGGTCATTGTCGATGTGCCACCTGGCATCCTCCCTCTGCCTCTCAAGCCTCGACTCAGATTGATCACATCGCAATCAACTACCGCTGGCGTGGTTGTGTACAAGACTGCCACTCCTTTTGGAGTACGTATCTGAACTCTGATCATTTATTTATTTATTTTAACACATAGATATTGGTACAAGGAGGCACCAAATACATATGCGCCAAACAAATCTCATTTGATACGTGTGAGGGCTGTGATACTTCCCGGGTGACCAAATCGAAGCAGGTGGTTTTCTTAGAGGGCCACACCCCGAGCCTTCGACCTGAAGGCCTAATCCACAATGCAGTGGAGCAACGTTGGGAGATGCAGTCCCATGGTAGCCGGTGACCAACGACTGGCTCATACGCCATTTGTTCCCTTAGGATAATATGAACCATGTTCACCATTGGTTTTGATATTCGATCATAGGTGTCTTCGAAGCATTGCTAGTGTATTTCGGGACCACGAAGTAAGGAATACCTAGGTTAGGAATAATGTACTGGGTAAGAATTGAAAATGGATTGATGAGAAAGTTAATCTTCAACTGAGGTGATTGGGACATGTGTTACGTATGTCCAACCACCGCCTATCTCGACGAACGGTTTTTTTAGTGTAGTAGTAGGGTGGAAGAAAGTTAGGGACGTCCAAACCAAAACTTTTCATCGGTATATTAAGTCACTAACAATTGGAGTTACCCATGCTAATAGGTGTAGGCTAATTGTTTGGGGTCCACGTGATTATCGTAAGCAATGGTTAGAGACTTTGATTAACATGGCTCAAAATCGTTTGTAGCTGCCCAGATGCATCCATTCTTTGTATTTTCTCAAGTTCTAAATTCCACATCGTTTTTATATTTGACTAATCTCTATTTTTTCGAGTCGTATTTTCAATGTCTAATCGTTTTAATCACCACTGGTAATTTTACTACCTCTACTATTCTGGGCTGCAATTGTGTGACGCCAAGAAAATGACGAGTAAAGTCTCTTGCGGCTTCGGAAAACGTCCCGTTTATAAGCACTGGGTTGCTTCTGGTTCCTTACAACTCATTGAAGCCAGTCGGTCTACTCCGGGTAACCGTGAGTTTGGCCACAAACGACGACTTTTACGTAATGAAACTGAGCAAAGCTTGCATAAGGCCCGAGAAACCTGATGGTCGGAGCGTGCTAATGAGCTGTAAGTAGCAGCTGCATTTGGTGACTACTGGAAGCTCTCCCAACTCATCCGAGCCACTGGCAGCAAGAAGTCTGGTGTGAGCGGAACAATCTGTGAGGATGATGGGATGCCAATCACTAACATCCATCGACGTCTTGGACGATGGACAGAATTGTTCGAAGGGCATTTCAACTGGCCGACAACATCGGTCAGACTGTTCTGCCCTCCATGGCCGGTGACGACTGATCCACCAAATGAGGCGGAAGTCCATACGGAACTCCAACTCTTGAAGCGCTACAAATCACCTGGCCCAGATGACTTACCTCCGGCTCTTTTTGAAGATGGTGGTGACTTTCTGGCTAAGGAATTGACGACGTTGTTTACAAAGGTTTGGGAACTAGAGAGTGTACCAACGTCATGGAATGAGTCGATAGTTGTCCCTATCTTTACAAAGGGTTCACGTCGTTCCTGTAACATCTATCAGGGGATAAGTCTACTTCCGATTGCGTCCAAGCTATTGGCTTCCGTCATACTTCGTAGGTTGTTCGAAACCCGAGAAAGATTGACTCACGAGAAGTAGGCTGGTTTTCGTTGTAGTTGAGAATGTTTTGATCATATCTTCACCCTCCGCCAAATGTTAGAACACCGCCATACTTATCAAAGGCCAACGATCGTAGTGTTTCTTGACATCAGTGTTGCCTTCGATTCGTTGGA